CTTCAACGTTTCCCAGACCTGCCCGCCATTGGCCTTGCCTCCTGGAGCCTCTGTGACTCTCTCCACATCCACTGTGTGCCCACGGATGAGTGAGACCCCCACAGAGGCCACGTGTGTGCACTTAGCACCAAAGAGCAGCATTCAATGGCAATGGGGTTGGGGCCAAGTACTTAACCAATTTGTGCCTCAGTTCACTCATGTATAAAGCCAATATGCCATCCCAGCCTACCTCATTGGGCTATTGGAGCAGTTCAGGGGATGTGGTACACATGTGGGTCTTCAACATGCTCAAGGGAAATGGGATTGGAAGATGGGAGCATTTGTGCACAGCCTGTGGAAGCACCCTTGCATAAAGCTCTTAGAACCATTCTGGGCCCCTGAAGCGCTAAGTATCTGAGGCAGTCTCAGCCAAGACCCAGACACATATGTGCCCAGGGTCCAGCAGGTATAGGTATGGCCTGTGCCCTGGGCACCACTGAGCAGTGGTCTGTTTCTATCAGCTCCCAGGGGGGGTGGGGGGGACGGGCGGGGAGAACACCAAGCAACCCAGCATGAATGCCAACAACCCTGTCTTCGTAAATTCACTGCTTGCTCCCCATAGGCTGATGGGGCCTATCAGCCCGGCCTCCTCCTAGCATCCAGGGACAAGCTTTTGGCTCTTCCAGGTGCCAGGCTGGAAGTCCCAGAGACCCAGCTTCTCCTGACGTCAGAATCAGCCAGCCAGACACACATCCTTACATCCTTACATCCCAGAGCCACTTGGAGCAAATATGCCATTGACAAACACCAAGAGGCCGGACTTGGAGAACTTCCAGAACCCTGCTCTGTCAGCAGAAGCTGGCCGGTCCTCTGAGCCTGCCCCACGCAGAAACCCACAAGGGTGCAAGCGTCGGGAGACTGTGGGGATGTGGGCATGCACAGAGGCAGAATCTATATCTAGACCTCCTTGGAAGCCCTGTGGTAGGGTTCTAAAGAAGATCTGTGCTCGAGCCCGGTTGGAGGCAGAGCCCGCCACTTCCAGCCTGAACCACATCCTCAATTGCTCTGTCTCAGAAAGGGACCTGACTGTGTTGGTCCTCCGTGGTGCTGACATCTACTGAATGCAAAGGTGTCTCTGTATCAGGTGGATGCTCGGGGCGCTGTGGTCCCTACCTCCACAGCTTCTCCTCCTGGGGAAGTGAGGGGCCCTCACGGCCCAGCCCTCCCATCTCTGAGTTAGCTCCTCCGTTTTGTCTCAGCATTTGTGGACTGTGAGCTCCCCTTCCAGCCAATCGTCGGAGCTGCCTCTGACTGCATTAGACAAAAGGGAGTAGCTGGGGCAGACCCAGATGCCTGGTGGTCTCCCTCCCAGAGAATGAGGTCCCTAAAAAGATGAGGGGGGAAGAAGCCACTGAGGGTCTAAGTGTACCCCCACAGAATGCTGGGAGCGAGGGGGTTGCCAGTGTCGAGTCCAAAGAAAAGTCATCCCTGGCAACAAAGCAGCCATCGGAGGACCCAGGATCCAGGACACTGGCAGCACTGTACCTCCAGGGCCCTCTTGCCCCAAGGGCTGGGCTCACTCTCTAGAGAAGGAGCAGGCTGGTCAAGAGAACCACTTACTAATTTAGCGCTGACATCATACACATTAAAGGTAGCCCACATGGCCTCCTCAGAGGTGCGGGTTATCTCCTCATTGGATCAGGCATTGCTGCTTCAGAAGGTGGAATCATTGCCTTCCATGTAGGAGACCAGGGTTCAATTCATGGCCAATGAGCCTCAAGCACAGTCACTACCCATGTGTTCAGTGGAGGCTCATGTGGGGCTGGGACACCCAGTGGGTTCCCATGGAGCTTCCCGATGCAGGAGAAAGGCCTGGTGAAGACCAGCCAATGAAAACTCTGGGGAGCCAGGAGCTGTTCTACCACCGATGGATGATGGGGTGGTGCAGGACCAGGCAGCATGTCAACAACTCAACAGCAACTGTCACATCGTACACCATCCACTGTATCCGTTCACCTGCAATTCTATTATTCACTCCCCTCTAGTGCGGTTATACAGTCATTGTTGCTATCAGCTCCCCTTTCCCTCCCTTACCCCCTTCTCTTCCCATATCCACAGGGAATCATTACTCCCATTACTGCTTCCAAAGTGTGATCTGTCTTGGATTTTATGCATCAAACACTCTTAATTATACAAATGAGCATACGCAGGTCTAACAAAATTAATGAGGTGAAACAAAAACCATAATAGTAAGGGGAGGAAATATTAAAGAACTAGAAAATAGTTATGTGTTTCATCAATGCTATACCGCTCCCTTCCATGAAAGCTTCATCCTTTCCGTGTGGCTCATCCGTTCTGAGAGGGACTGTCCAATTATCTTACAGGTGGGTTTGGGGTCTCCACTTTGCCCACACTCCTTCACATCAAGTTGAACTCAAACCTCCAGTCTTTGGGATCACAGCCAAGCTGGGATTATACTACCCAGCAAAGTGTGTTCATTCCTATGAGGGATTGGATGCGTTCCTCCCTGCTTAGTGCTGAAGGTCCCACGGGACGCCTTCTATCCAATGAGGGGGGCTCTGGATCAGAATGTCTGCAGAGATCTCCCTGCATGTCCATCTTCTCTGCCTGTCTTGACTGCTTGGGGGATTTGAACTCTCGGTTCTGTCCACAGGTGACCTGGTGTCCCGAGCTATGCATCACCTGCAGCCCCTCAATGCCAAGCACCATGGCAACGGCACCCCCCTGCACCACAAGCAGGGGGCACTCTACTGGGAGCCCGAGGCCCTGTATACCCTCTGCTATTTCATGCACTGCCCACAAATGGAATGGGAGAACCCCAACGTGGAGCCTTCCAAAGTCAACCTCCAGGTGGAAAGGTAAGACTGGCCTTGCCTTGGACGGCCAAAGTGTTGCTCTCTTCATACTGCCTTGTGCTGGCTGGGTGCTGCCTCCAAGGTGGGGGAAAGAGTTGGGGAAGGGAGAGATACTGGGTGTAAGAACTGCCCAGTTGCCTGAAACTTGCTGGAGGGTCCACATGGGCACTGTATTAGTCTAGGTACTTTAGAGAAACAAATCCACAGCAACTCATGTATAAGAGAGTTTTATGTAAAGAAAGTGTGCAT